ACAGCCTGTAATGGGCCATCCAATCCAGCCAACCATCCAGCAACCCAGCCCCAAAGAAAGCATCCAGGGGCAAGTCTCACAAATCACTAAATTTATATACATTCCATTCATGGCTTGAACTATAATTAGAAATCGTAACTATCGAACACTAAAAGTTAATCTACATTTTTGAGTGCAAATGCAATTGAAATAAAAATCAATGTTAAACTATAATTAAATCGAATAATTGCAATGCTCAGCAATAAATACACTCCCTTGTGTTGTAAATAAACATAAAATTTAAATTAACAAAGCTAAAATCAAATTAATTTCAACATTTTTGATTTAAGCTGCCATTTTTTGGTCTTAAAGCGGAAATTGCTTTTTCAAAAATTTCACCTTTTCAAAGAACTAATAAACAAACCACTCTTTCAGACGTTATACTTTCAAGTAAGAGAGATCTATTGGGTCTACTTATGGTAAGGAAGTATATTGGATAAGTTTCTTTTTAGAGAAATGAAGTGCTAAAATTCGTGAGGCCTTCAATTAAGAATGACTTCTTAAACACTAAAAATGACTGTATAGCGAAATCGCTGTTTGTTTGCGCTTTTTGCTGGTTCGCATTGACAGGTGTTAAGCAGGAAATACTTGATTTTTTTCCCAGTGCAGTTTTGGCCCATTCCCTGACCATAAAACTTTCTAACCATTTGCACTTCCTTTTACGCAACAACAACCTTGATAAGCCCAAAAAAACAAGACCAAAAAAAAAACACAACCGGCAAAACGAAAACGAAATGAAATGAAAACAGGCTGTAAGCTCACTTCCGCATTTAAAACAATAATAACAATAAAGCCGAGACGGCCCAGACGAAAACATTTCCGATTTCAGATGCATATTTATAAGAAATATGGGCCAATTATGCGAATTACTCCACAAAAAAAACCAACGAATCAGCCCAACAAGCAATGAAATCAAAAACGGAAAAGCTTTGCCATGACAAAGCACAAAATAATATTAAAAAACGAACAAACCAACCAAGCCAAAAAAAAAAGTTAGCATTTCGTAACCGAAATAACCGTTAACATTCACAAAGGCATTGCTGGGCGGAGGGGGCTGGGTCCGGCACCGGCCCCAAATCATCAGCTGCTTTGTTATTGCCCTCGCCAGCCACACTATTATAATTTTTTGGCACTAATATCATCATCGCCGAACGAGCGGCTGCCGCTTCTTCACACTCCCAATTGCAGTTATTAATACCGGTTTCGCTATATAAATAAACCATTTCAGTTGTTTTTTGGGGCCGTTTTGTCATACGCTCCGTGATACTTAAACGGAGCGAAAGCCGGGGGTATATTGGCCAAAAAGGTTAGCAATATTTGGAGCACTAACTTATAAAGAACGAGCATATAAATTATGTTTAGAAATAGGAAGATATTTTGGCTCTGTTAGAGATTAAACTACCTACCTAAGTCCATACCTAAGACCTTATATGTTGATCCTATAGCAGAGAAACAGAGTATATAGAAATACCATTCTACAAATCCAATTTTGATATACTCTCAAAATATCAACTTAAAATGTAATATTACAATTTTAAATCCCTAAAAATAAGTATTATTTTTGTTTAAACAAACATTTACAGGGTAACTGCCGGGTCGAAAAGGTCTTTTATATTTTCGCTCCACTTCCTCTTCCCACATTACAATTCGGCATGCTCCACTAAATCGGCAAACGTTGTGGGAATCGATGACGATGGCGATGCGTTTAAAATGCATTACAAAGCATAAAGTTGTCATAAAAATTAAATTAAATAAAAGGCCGAAAACAAGAAATCGGGTAGCGAGGAGGCGAGGCGAGGTGAGAGGAGGGAAAAGATCAACTGACTTAAGCCAATTAAACGATTAGGTAACAGTTACAACAATAATGGCAGTGTCAGCAGCATCGTATGCAGCACACAAACACACGCAAGCCATGAAAAAAAGATCGTCATTGGCCAGAAGAGCAGCTGTGGTAGCAACAATAAAGCTCAGACGAGTCGAGTTATAAACCTACATAGAGCGGCAAAATTTGTACAACCAACGGTGGGCCACTGCGAGTGGCAGCAAACGGAAAAAAGCCAGAAACAGAAAAAAATTAATTCATGTTGTGCCCATTTCGTGAGCGGGCACAAAAACACAAACAAAAAAACGTTGAAGAAGAATAACTTACAACAAGAAGTTACAGCCGTCAACAAAGACCGAAGATTACGATACTCTTCCATATCATTAGATAAAAGACACTTTTTATACAGTTTGGACTTATCAATAACAAGAATTTATATACCTAATGTACTCGTAGAAGTCTACTACAACTACTTCCTAAGTTTAAATCAGAAGTTCCACTATCTTAATCGATACATAATACCCTTTCGTAGAGTATAATAGGTTAACAAATACGGCAGCAATAAATGAAGCACAAGCCGCTCACAAATGGCAGAAAGGCTTTTAAGTTAACACCGGCCCTTTGGCTGTTCTCCGTCCACTTGATTTATGTGGTCCAAGCCTCGATGGTATGCATCTTCTTTTCTGCCCCTTAAAGTTTACGTCACGGGTGACATTAGACCTTATCCCTCATCCGGCCAATGATTTCATCATTTGAGGCTGCAGCAACACGTTGCGAGATCTGGTCTTATATATATACATATATATATATATCTATATAATAGTAATGGCAATGAGATGAATGAGTGGTCAGATCCGATGGACCCAATCGCTCACTCTTTGTTCTAATGACCATCTTCTGCTTCTGGGCCTGCGATCATAACTTGTGACCTAATCATGATAAAGCATGATAATCTCCAATAAGATTGGAAAAACGGCAACCCAATTATGTTATGCAAGGTAACAATGACATACTTTCAGTTCTGTAATAGTGACTTATTTACAAACCATAAAAGTTAAATAATAAACTATTTTATTATATTACTCTAATACGTAGTAAGTGTGTTTGTATTTAGGAAAGAAATCAAAGAAGTTCCCATAGTAAACCTAATATCTGCATTAATTAAGACTCATCTGAATTCAACTGAAATCGGAATGGAGAACATGCCTTTTAATGAATTCTTCTGTATCTAATATCTAGTATCTTCACAGACAATCAAATTTACACATTGCTCAACATGAATACAAATTTTACACCGCCAAATTATTCAAAATGTGGAGAAGCCCTTCATCTTTCTTCGAGTGGCTGGGCTCTAGTATAGTTTGGCTAATGTGCCAGACAAGTAGCTGGCGGCAGCAATTGTCTGTGAAAATCTAAAGCCTACCAGCCAAGTCAACACGAGAATGGCTTAAAAGAAAATCAACAAAACACTACCAACAAAAAAAGCAAGACACAGCCACTTTTAAAGACGACCCAGGGAACGAGCAGTAGACGGCATTAAAAGTGGAGAATAAATGTAATAATGACATTTGTGGCCGTTAGGAGTTGGATTCTTAACTGTTTGACATTTTGCGTAACCTTTTTCGTAGACATTTGGCCTTTATTCGGATTAACAGCTCTTTTTCTGTTTTTTTTTTTTGTTGGTACAGAGGAAGTAGAGCTAGCTAGGAACTTGGGCAACGCCAGACAATGATGATGATGTTGACGATGAACTACCGGTGTGTGTGGCCCACTGAACTGGCCAAGTTAATTGGAAAATGAAACTTTCAATTTCATGGCGAAATGCTAATTTCTAGCCGAAGAAAAGTCAACTGGAAAAGCGGCAAGACCAATTGCTAAGGAAACTTGGGGGAGATGCAGATGGAAAGACAGCGAAACTAACTGAAAAATCACAGAAGTAGCAAAACAGAAAAGAAAGATGGTTCCAAGTTTGAATGCAAGTAATTGATACTCTTTCCTAGATGATAATATGTTTTAGGATATATATAGTTATTATTGAGTTCGAAATTAGTTTGGTTTTTTAATGTTTTATATTAGGCCAGGCTCTACCTCTTCCCTTTCCTTTTTTCCATATTAATATTTAAATATTTTAAAAGATGGATCATAACTTTTTGGAACATGACGTTGTCGGTTAAAACTTTGAAAAACCTTTGCCAAATAGAACGACAAATTTGAAATACCCGCAACTAGAGAAGGTGAGGAAAAACAATTAAACTTCAGGGGCTACAAGGAAAAGAGAAAAACTAGCATGTTGGAAGACTCTAAGAAAGATGGCCCCGCTTCGTTGGCCAGCGGCTATATCATCTATGGCCAAGAACAACAACAAAAGCATCGCGCGACGCATTTATTGACGTAGCCAAAACACATTAGCCACTGCTGCTGGCCGGCGGTGTTGCGCGGTGGTTCGGTGGTGCTAGATGGCGGCTGATGGCGCAAACAGTGTTGCAAATGACCCAATTATCCACTGACCCACTCAACGTTCGTCCGTTGTCCGGGTCCGGACAGCGGAGTGCGGAGCATAGAGCATGGGACGTGAAGCACGGGATCTCCAGAGCTGGCTCTTGCAAAAGGGGCAAACAGAATTCAAGCCCTAATAATGGATGGGTAGGTAGGTAAGCGGAGGTCTTTAGAAGCTAAGTTAGCTAACTAACTAGCTGGCCAGAACTCCAAATGAGGCCCTAAAATGGAGACATTAATTAGCCTAATGACGGGCACAAAATGCCCAGAAATTAATTTGCCGGTTACGGTTATGACAGCGGTTCATCTTTTTGCGAAAGCCAAAGTTTGCCGGCAAACCGGCGAACTACCACAAGCAGATTCACCCAGGTGAAAGGTTCCCACTCGTCTTTCTTTCGGTAATTGAAATCTGTGCAGCGGCGCGGTCTTCTCTCTAAAAAAAAAAAACTTCTGCTAATGTTTGGAAAGTTCATTTTCGAGTGGTGCATCAGGGATTTCAAAGTGTAGGCCCAGAAAACGCAGACTTCTGTTTGTTTTTCCGGCTCCAAAGTCGGCTCAAACGTGCCTCATTAGATGCTGGAGTTTGGCTTTTCGTTATTTCAACACCTTCTTGTTTTTTTCGGGGCTATCAAAACAGCAATCAAGTTCTTTTTGTTTGACATTTTTGTTTACACTTTTTATTGAGTTCTCGTTCGGGCTTAATCAAAATAAATAAGTTGGTCATAATGTATAAGGTGTGTGTGTGTGTATGTGTATGGGTTACAAATAATGTATTGTATTGATGGGTTAACTATAGGATTGTTATTTGTGCAAAAACGATGCTTACGAACAAACAAACACTACAATAGTAAGAGGGAGGGAGGGAGGTGAGCACAACAATACGAACTAGTGAAAATATTAATTAAATAAATTAGCTTCGAGTGGTAATTTCTAACTGGGGAATGGTAACACCACAAACTGTCTGCCGGAACCTGCCAATGGAAAATCTGTGACATTTTCCAGCGGCGCGATGCTTGTAGACGACAACTGCAACGACTCTCAGTCAACACGATTCGAGCCAAGTTAATATACAACAAGCCAAGTCGAGCCAAGCCAAGCCGGAGTCACAGAGCACAGCAGAGCAGAGCGGAAAACTTCAAGCAATTTCTGTGCGCGCTGCGCGTTCGTGAGTTTCTTTTAATTAAAAAAAAAAGGCGAAAACTTTTACTCGCCAACTATACTTCTTCTACAACAGCTAAGCAGGTAACTAGGGCTGCTCTCGATTTTCAGATTTAGACTTTATGCTTGGCGATCTCAGTTGGAATTAATTGTGCGCCAGATCTTCTTTCGGCTGTACTATGCGCCTCAAATTGCAGACAAGTCGGAAATGTGAATCTTAATTTGAAAATATAACATGATATGATACCGATCGCCTGCCTATGAATAAACTAAATGAAACTCTCACTTTAGATTCATGAATATTCTCAGTTAGAAAGAATGAGTGCTCATTTTGTTATTAATATATATATAATTATAATCATTGCGTGTATGTATGATACCTAAACAGAGATATAAGCTTTCAATAGAACATTGCTATTAACCATTAGAGATCCAATCTGTTTGTGTTCCCCAATCTAAGGATAACTTATCAACTATAAAAGTTCACGTTGTAGCGCTTCGTTTACGGACTAAGTAAAAAACCAAACCAACTAATTAGATAACATTAAGTAGAACCCAAAAAAAACTTTAAAGATAAACCACAACTAACATGTAGGAACGTTGCTTAAGCTCAAAGATACAAATTAACACTCATAGACCCGACGACTCCGACCCTCGATAAATCCCAGATCTTGGGGAGTACGATTTTTGGCCCTATGGGATGATGATAACGTTAATGCACAAATAACAACAAACAATTAATTGTATGGTAGAAGGTAAGATACAGATAACGGTATAGTTAAGTTAAAGTATCTCTAGGGGTTCACATCGTATCTCTACACGATTTCTACAATTTCTTCTTCTTTTTGCGCCACAAAATCTGCATAAGAGTCGCACCCTTCCCGTAACCCCCACCCGCAGCTCCGTCATCATTATCTGTGGTCTTGGCAAAAAGAAAAGGAAAAGAAAAATGTCTTAAGATATACAGATATACAAAACGCTGCCGCCACTACCACAGCCCCCGCCGTCATCGTAGTCGCCGCAGTGAAAGTGAAAGTTGAAGTGGAAGTCGGATTCGGATTCGGATTCATAGTCGCCGTCCCCAGTCGCAGTAGTGTGTATGTGGTATATACAAGGTTTCCAGTCCCGGTTTCCATTTAGCCGGGGTTCGTTTCCATCCATCTGCCTGCCTGCGCCCATTTGGTCAACTCGTTGGCCTTTTGTTTTTCGCTCCGATCACGTTGATGTTGATGTGGATGATGATGATGATGTGATGATCATCTCACATGTGCGTTATATCCATTTAATGGGTTTTCTTCTTTCTTCACTCTGTGTTCGTTAAGGTTGCGCAACTTGGGTTGGGTAGAAATTCAAAAATACTTTCAGGAGATTTACATTTCCCCGATCAGAAAACCGCCCACGCATCGTTATATCGTCTCACGTTTCCCAACCAAAATCGTCGCAAAATGAGCCACTTTCTGGTCTATGCGATATCTTGTTTCTCATTTTTCTTGCCTTTTTGATTTTGATTAGTTTTCCATTGGCGTCGTCACGAGATGGTGGAAAACGCTGGCTTCAGTTTACCCACCGTGCCCAGTATCAGCCTGGTGGGTGTGGCCCGGCTGTCTGGGCCCAGTTTGGCAGCTGCCACTTGGCTGTCATCGTGGCTGCCACCTCCACTTGTCTGCCTTCCCCCGCGCCACATCAAACCCAAACTGTTGCTGTTGCTGCTGCTGCTGCTGCTATTGTTGTTGCAATCCACGAGAAAATCCAAGGCAGTGGGCGTTGCATCCGTCAGATTCAAATGCTCAAAGTTAAAGACGAGGCCTGATCCGCAGTTGTGGCTGCCAGCGCTATCCAAGCCACTGTCGCTGGTTGCTCCCGATCCCGATCCGGCATGATCTGCCGCATTACAGGTCTCGATCAGCTTGCGCGATATCTCATTGAGACTCTCATTCAGCAGCGTCTCTGCCTGGGCGGAAATCGAGGAGGAGGCGTTGCCCAGTTTTCCACCTCTAAAGCAATTGCCAAACAGATCGTTGGCTATATTGATTCCACTCAGGATATCTCCGTACCCGGAATCATCGCTCAGGCATTGCGAGGGTGTGGTCACGGCACTTGGATGACTCCGCTGGGATCCGATTACACCCACTATTTCCGCCCGACTGCTGTCGCCGGTGATCGGAGCAAACTCCTCGGTGGTCTCCTCCTGCAAAATCGATGAGCTAGGCAGGCTTTGGCTGCAAATAGAGCTATCGCAGGAGCTGTCCGAGTGCGTGGATGAGGTGGAGGAAGAGGAATTCCTACTTCCGCCTCCTTGTTCGCTGGAAGAAGCATCGGAAAGTGATCGCCGAAGTGGGTAATCCCACAAAGAACGCAGTGGGTCGCATTCGCGGCAGAAGCACACTCCATGCGTGTGATCATGCTGCAATATTCCTGGTGGTAGGTGATATGACCCTCCTCCGGCAGGATAACCATCACCTGGATTAGTAATCTTGGGCTGCATTTCCGACTCCATTTTGAGCAGAACACAATTCCCTGGCTTGCGATCCTTTTTGCGTCGCTTCCTCGGCTTAATTATCCTCGGCAGACAGGTATCTGCAGGCGAAGTGCCCTGATCCTGGCTAGAAGCATTGCTAACCGGCTTCTCCTGGCTGCTAAGCACTGGCGGTGCTGAGTTTTGATATCGAAGGGCTCGAGATTTTTCCGCCAACTTAAAACCTGCCTGATTGCTCATTGGCTGATACGAACTCCAGTTAGTCGTCACAGGATGATGGTGATGATGATGCGTTTGGTGATGCTGCAGCTGCTGCGACTGCTGTTGCTGTTGCTGAATATGCTGCTTGCCATTCTGCTGCAGCAGCGGCATGCCCTGGGCGTGTACCGCCAGCTGGGACATTGTAGCGCCACCTGGTGGCCATGTTGGACATGATTTTGGGGCAGATTTCCTCAGCAATCTCTGTCGCTGGGCCGGCGACAAGTGACTTGAGGCATTCGAGATAAGAGGTATGCCGGCACATTCATTGATTCGCTGCTGATTAACCACTCCATAACCACCGGGCTGGGGTGGCTGGACAGTCGATGAAGCAGCCCAATTAGATTGTGGTACAGACGGCGGACCATGATGCAGCCTATATGCAGGAGCTTGTTGCTGCTGACTTCCCGGCCAATGGCTTAAAGGATGCTGGTGGTATCGCAGGGGAGCATAGTTAAGTGGTGGTGGTTGTGGTGCTGCTGTTTCTGGCGCCCTGTAAACGGCCACATGCGATCTCATGCTGTTGTTGTCTTAAACCCAAACTGTATCCTGGCGGTGGATCGAGTCGATTGCACATCACTTGGCCGCTTGGTTTGATTACTCGGGCTTGAGCCACCACTCAATGAAGCATTTCGGCTGTTGACCAACAGACAAACGATTCCACCGCAACGAAATGAAAAGCGAACGCCAAAGAAACTGGGACACGGCGCGATTGCAATTACGAAACACACGGCACATGCGCGACGGTCGCGAACGGGTTTCCAGTTAGTGAGCGTTCTGGAGAGCAGAGTGGAGCAAGTGCGTCCGCCTTGTAGCCAAGCGAGCGGCAGACTGAAGTCAGCTGCTAATGCGATCGCTAGCGAGACCCGGCTAACAGTAAAAGCCGTTAATACCAGTCTCGCTCTCTCTAAATCTCTCTCTTACGTTCCACACTTGGAATACAAAAATGATCACCGAACCGACTCTCTTTTGGGCTCACATTAACGAAAGAGCGACTTTCGGAGGCTTTGCATGTCGAGGTCGTGCAGTTCTTTCGGCCGACACCGACTCCATCAATTGTTGTAATTGTTGCATTCAATTATACATTTTTAATTGATGCCCGGGCATTATGTTTTTGGCATTAATAGGCAGCCGTGAGTTTGAACTTTAATTATGGCTGCTGCTGCGGCAACAGGTTTTATGGCCTATCCCGAAGAAGCTTTAAAAATGTGCAACACCTTTGCTTATTGGAAATGTGATTTTTATTTCAATTTTTCACAGCCCTAATAAATACTAAAAAAAAACGACCTATTTCTTGCCCTATCAAAGAAGTGATCTCGAAATAACATTAGTTTAAAGATTTAAGGATTAAAAGTATGTTCCTGTAATGCCCCAAATCTTTTAAATCTTTTAAAAACCTTTTCAGTGAAAACCAAGTGTCATCAAATAGTTAAATTACCCTTAAACCGGCAGTTCAATTGAAAACTTTCTCTTTTCGGAAGCCTTTTTTCGCGTGCTTTCCTTTTTTACCCCCACACTAGCGTGCACAGTGACGCACACCTCGACAGGAGCTGCTCACGCACCTGGCACACTCACACACATACACATATATAGGGATGTACACAGATGAAGGGGGACTTACATGACAAGTTGTCCAGCATGTAGGTGAGCAGTTTCTGCGTGCCGTTTGGCTCGTTGTAGATGTTCATGAACTCCTTTTGCAACGGATTGCCCATGAGGCCGAGTATGACGAGGTGGAACAGCTTGCCGATCTCGTAAGGCAGCACGCGCAGAAAGTTGTTGTTCAGCAGCAGTTCCCTAAAAAGGAGAAGACACGATGGAGTGGGTGAGTGAAAAGCGCGGATCAATGATCATTACGGCTTACTTCTAGACAGCGGGATCAAAAGCTAATTAAACTAAATACGACAACCTGTGTTATTTTATTACAAAATATATCTTTTAATATCTTGTCAAGGTGAGTCAAGGTAATTCCAGGATTTACCTTTAACAAGAAAGACTGCTTTCATTTCCTATTCCATATTTTGCATTCGTAATTAAGCCCTTCATTAAAAAGATCTTCGAGTAAGTAAGAAGAGATTTAAGGAATTTCTGAATATAAATATGTCTTACTGCAAAGCAGTTGCATACTTGATTAAAATTTTGTTTAAACATGTCACATATACTAAAGAGTCCTTCTAGCTGTTACTCTTAAAATCCGAACTCACCTCAACTGGATGAGTTCGCCAAGCTCTGCGGGAAGACTCCTTAGCTTATTGCTGGACAAATCCAAAGTTCGGAGACTGATCAGCATACCGACGTCAGCTGGCAATCTCAGCAGTTGGTTATCGTTCAGATAGAGGGCGGTTAGATGCTCGAACTCCCAGAGCGACGGACTGATGTTGCGGACGCAACCTGTATCAATAAGATATAAAAAAAAAATTAACTATGTATCTTTATAGATTGAAGAGATGATATATACCGGTAATCTCTAGACCACTCCAGTTTGTCTTCTTGCCAGCGGCGATATCCTCCTGCGACAAAAAGATCTGCTGTCTTCGATTGGCGCTGTCGTATTTGTCTTTGTTACGAGACATTTTATAGTGATTGCCTGTACAGTATATATGAAAGAGAATAATATTAGTATCTGTAGATATTAAATGGGACTCGATAAGATCTGGATTTGTTTCAAGGAAGTTAGGGCTCATGTTAGGAGACAAAACCTCGCTTAGCAACAAAAATTAATGTTTTCAGTTTTAGCTTAAATTTATTTAGGAGAATTGGAATCAAATCATAACCTTTCATAATAACCGCCTGATGATAAGCGTCTCTGCAAAATATTAATAAAGTGGTTTCAATTATTATTTTGTATTAGTAAACAAAGGAGAGGTTGGGAGTTTTGGATTTCGGATTTACACTTTATGGATCCAACTTAGAGACAAAACAATAGCAGTTTTTATAAACAGAGAAATATTTCAAATTGAAGTAATATTGAAATAGCAAATGTGATCAGAATGATTTTATCAAATCAAATTCCTTATCACCATCGCTAGATCAGCATAATTCAACAAGGTTTCTTACATTACATTCAAACCTAATTGATTGATTGCCTTTGATTTTTTGATAACTGCTATTGGTTTTCGCACAGCTGTGGTTGGTAAATTGGAAATTATAATTAAATGCAAACGAAAAGGACTTTTGCAAGCGCGCGCAAAGTGCAAGCAAGAACACACATACAGAGGCACACAGAAACAAATGTAAATGCGCGCATACAGACACACTGAACAGTTAGACACGGAGAGTGGCGTGGGCGGGCAAAATAAGAAGAGCCGTTTGTCGCATATTGAACACCAGGAACTTGGCATTACCTGGATCAGTTCACTTTTCCCAGGAAGTCACCTCACTAGGATTTGAGTATTCAAATCTACTTGCCGCCTCTCTTCGATTCAAGAACTCTCTTCGCTCTCCGCTCGCTAATTACTCAATAATTTTGAAAGAAAGAGGTAAGCCGCAATCAATTCGTACTATTTTATGCGATATACTTAGTAATTTTGGTGAGTTCTAACGTTCTAGGTGCTCTTTTTCTTTTTTTCTTTTCGTATTTTCAATTTTTTAATTGCTGCTTTCAGTGTCTGTTTGTCGAAACAGAAGCGACGATTCTGCTATTCTCCGTTTTGGGTCGCTCTTTCTTCTGCTGCGTCTCCGCTTTCCTTTTATTTATCGCGCGATTCGTTTTCATCGTTGTTTCTTGTTTTTGTATACATGGTGGCCACTTGGAGTTGCCACTCGGTTTTATCAGTAAACGATATCACGACAATTTCTCGGCAATTTGCGTGCTTTTTTGGCTATATCGAATTTGGTGGCCTAGATTTGATATAAACGTCTAGGAAATCATTTGTTTGAAAATACAGCTAACTAGAATTTTAGTCAAAACAAAACAATCGCACAACACAAACACAAATTTACAAACACGTACACACACAAGCACACAAACGGTCACAGAGGTGCAGGGTTGAAAATAAAAACACGTAGAAATTCGTACTGTTGCTTTACTAGCCACTTTTTTCTGTCAACGCTTGTTGAATTGTTAAGTCGGCTTCCAACGCGAATTACTGTATTTATTTTAGTTTTCTGGTTTTGCGATTAAATTGTGGTTTTAGCCTTCTTTTGCTATGTGTAAACTCTCGCTCTTCGCTTTCCTTCGGTTTTCATTTCCTTTTTGTCCGCTGGTTCGGCTAACGCGGAAATGCCCACTCGGTGCCTATCGGCTATCGGTAAATTTTGCAAACAGAACTGCCAACTATCGAGTATATTAATTAGCTATTTATACGCTAGCAACATAAAATTGTTAATATTTTACTTGCATTAATAGCTAAATTCCCGCTAAAAAAAGATATACTTACTACTGGAGCAATCGATAAGCCCAGCATTTCGATAGACCATTTTGGCCGCCAATAAAACCAGTTTGTTTTTTTAATTTTGTTTAGTATTTGTGTATTTATATTAATTATTACGTGCTTATTGCTTAATTGTGCTGTTAAAATGTCGGTAAGAAAAATGTCTGAATACCTGAGGAACTATTTGGCCGAGGAGGATAAAAGGGTTCGAGCCATATGCAATGGTGAGGACGGTGATGCTGAAATGATTCTATGGATGCATAGTAAAACTGTAAGGTGTAATTTATGTTTGAATTACAGTAATAATGAACATTACGTATTAATAGAGAATAACTGAGGAGGATTTGGCACGCACATACACTGAGGACGAGGTGAGAGAGCTGTGCTTACGAACCAAAGTCAAAGTAAACATGACGTCATGGAATTGCCTTTGGGACGCCAAAAAGCGGTTCGACAAAAAGAATCGGCTGGAGAATAGATCCGATACCTATGTCAACCGAATGTTTTTGAAAGCGGTTCGGCGGAAAATGGTCGAGCCCTATACGGACGAGTATGTGGCCAACCAGAGAGACGTGGCTAGCGCCGAGACCAAGAAGCGCAATAATTATAGACTAGATAAGTGGCGTAATCAGAGAAATGCATTAGAAACAGAATCCTCACCAGCTAGGGAGACGTTTGTGGATCAAGCGCCTTTAGGAACTCAAGATATAGATGATGAAATGCTAGATGTAACCGAAGCGGACCCATTATTTACAACATTCAGCCAAACTGGAGTTGAGCAACCTCAGGGAGCTTTAGCCGTACCAAATGCTTCGTCTTGGTCGCAATCAAGCTCTGTAATAGAAGTACAACCGGAAGGTTTAGTCGAGGTGATTGATTTAGTTTCCTCTCAATCTTCTAATACAATAAATACTGAGAGGCTGTTGCACGTCAAGGAGGAGCTTTTATCTGAATCAATTACTCAACAAGAATTAAACTATGAAACGGGAGCTCAAAATCAAGCCCAGAACGAAGAAGTTGAGACATCATCTCTAACAGAACTCTTTGGTATTGGGGACCAAGAAGAGGATCATCAAAAACAGGGAGGTTCTGAAGTCCAGTACACCGCCAGCCAAGAGACACAAATGCAAGAAAGCTGGGCATACGGAGGTGGAATTAATTCGGAAAGCATGTCGACAATGCCATCATTAAGTTCACAGGACCTCTTTAATAGTGAACCAACGGATCCTAACTATGAGACGTTTGGCACACAGTTGAATCAAGGTACCTCCACTCAGGAGGCTGCTAACTAGCTAAAAAATGAGAATTATAAAATCGAAATTTTGCATTTATTGATTTTTGTTATATTATTACGTGCCTAAGTGAAGAATAAGTAAAAATGGCTTAAAAACATGTAATCCCTAAAAATTGTATAAAATGAATAAAACCTTAGCTACAGTACGGGGCTAGATTTATGCTATGTACACTTATCTAGGATGATATCCGAAACCGGAACTGTACACGGGGATAAACATTTAAAATGCTCGACTTTTACATAATTACGCTATGTACAATTTACATTTAGAGCTAGTTTACATGGTCCCACAGGGCGTGGCAGGCGGGCGGTGGGTGCTACGGGAAGTGGTCAAATAAGAACTGTTCCATGAACAGCGACTCCGAATGCTAGTTAGACGAGTTGTCGCCCGGCTCACTGACCGCAATAGTCATCTTCGCCTCATCACCGCTGTCCAATTCCGGATCTTCGTCATCTTCCTCATCCTCACAATCATCCAGTTCGTCCTCGTCGAGCTCCTCTTCATCCTCGTCCTCTTCGGTCATCTCTTCATCTTCCTCATCGTCCTCGTCCTCACCGAAACTGTCGCCACCGCCGGTGCCCTCTACAGTAGGCAGTTGAACAATCATTGCCCCACCTGGCGTCACAGTTGAGCCCGCAACCGTGGCCGCTACACTGGAGGCTCCACTGCCCGTCACAGCGGCACCGCTGCCCGGAATCTCTATCGTCACAATGCCATTCATCGTGCTAATACTCTTGGGCGCATTTCCGCTTTTGCCCTCCTGCTTAATATTAAGCTCGATGAGCTCCACGCCACTGCGGCTTTTAAAGTGTGTCTTAATGTGCTTGGACAAATGATCGCTGCGCATAAATTTCTTGTTGCACTCGCGACACTGAAATCTCTTCTCGCCCGTATGTGTCCGTCGGTGGCGCTGTAGCTCATCGGATCGGGTGAAGCGCTTTCCACAAAATACCCAGGAACAGACAAACGGTCGTTCGCCGGTGTGCCACCGCAAATGAGCCCTTAAATGAGAGGTCTTTCCGTACACCTTCTGGCAGCCGGGAATGTGGCAAATGTGCTGGCGCTTCTTATCCGAGTGCTTCTCGCCATCGGTACAGTTTGGACATGTGCAGGCCACTCGCTTCAGACGCGGTTTCGTATCTCCAGTTGCCACTCCACCGCCGCCACCCGACGTGCCACCTCCTGCATTCGCCACACTAATGCTCACGTTCTGATTGCTCTGTGCCGGCGTTGTTATCGTCGTCGTACCACTATTTGAGCTTCTTATGCTCGCAGCCGCTCCTCTAGCCTGCGTGGTTATAGCCACTTGGCCACCAGTAGGTGCGATCGTAATTTGAGTACTGGCCGTGCTCGCTACGTTGGCTTTACTTCTTGCTGGTAGGGATACGGGAATTTGTTGGGATGGAGCTGAGGTGTTCGGTGGATTCGTCGCTTGTTGCGGAAGAGCAGTAATTTGAATGGAGGCTGGTATGCTCAGATTAGACAGGGAGGTGCCCTCCGTATGCAGGAACTTGATCTGCTGCTGTTGCGGTGAGGATGTGCTCGGCGTTGAAGCGGGTGCCGGTGGATTGATGGGTCCAAAGGTATCCGGCGGCTCTTGTTTGATGCTGGTGATCATCTGCGTCGGACTCTGGGGCTCTTGCTTAGGCATAACTTGCACCTGGCCCTGGGTCGGTAAATGGTTTTGCACCTGAGTCTGAGACATGGGCAGTTGTGTAAGCACCTGCTGGAAGTTGGCCGGTAGATTTGACGGCAACTGGTTGGCGTGAATGATTTGCACTTGACCCAAGCCGGGGATGTTTTGAATGGGAAGCGCCTGGAGGTTAGGCAACTGCATTGGCGTGGGCACAGCAGTGGGAGTAGGAGCGGGAGCGGGTGGCGCTGTTGGGCGTAGTTGGGCGGGAATCACTGTCAGTTGTTGGCCCTGAGCATTGGTAATGGTAATGGGCTGATTGGGTGGCAGTTGTCCACCCGCCGATGCTTCACTGATGGCTTGAAGGAGCTGTTGATGCTGCGCTTGAACCTGTTGTTGTTGTTGCTGCTGTGCCTGTTGTTGTTGCGCCGCTTGTTGTTGTTGAACCTGCTGCTGTTGTTGTTGTACTTGTTGCTGCTGGTGGGGATTCTGGATATGTATTATGTTGGCATTCGGCGGCAGTTGCGGGTACGGCATTGCCAGTTGCACCTGCTGAATTTGCCCGTTGGGCGTAACTATCTGGGCGATCTGTGAAAATTGCGGTATTATTTGCATCTGCGAGGCAGCGGGCATTTGCAGGGATTGAGCTTGCATCAGGTTTTGTAGTCCTCCGCCCGCCGTTGCCGCTGCCTGGACTGGCACATGAACCGTCTGGTAAATGGTCTGTCCGCCAGCAGTCTGCACGGGTATTTGAACAGCCACAGTTTGCTGCTGCTGCGGCACGGCCTGGGCCGGAAACTGAACCAGTTGGGGTCGCATCTGCAATTGGCCATTCTCAAGCTTAATGGATTGCCCGTTGCCCAGGAGGTTGGAGATGTTTCCCAGCAGTCCGTTAGCTGCCGCCACTGATGTGGGTATTTGTAGATTTGTGCCTGGGATGGTAATGCTTCCAGGCAACTGGGCGGGGGTCGCCGCGGTTGACCCACCGGCAGCAGAGCCTCCGGCAGCAGTCGATCCTTGTGCCTGCTGCTGCACTGCATTCTGATGCACTTGCTGTACCTGCTGTTGTTGCTGAATGAGATTGGTGACGGGTATTTGAATGTTGGTGCCGGGTATATTAATTAACTGGGTTTGTTCTTGGGCCAGGCCATTAAGCTGCTGCAGCTGGATGCAGTTGGAGGTTGCAGGATTGGCCGCCACCTGGGGTGCCCTCAGGATCTGACCGTTAGGAGTGATGAAGGCTTGTTGTCCGTTGAAGTTAACTGCTTGCGCTGTGGCCAGTTGGGCATTAAGATTGGGTATAAAGATGGCCTCCTGGCCATCGATGTTCACCGTTTGCATAGGCATGGGCTGTACGATCTGAAACATGTTTTGCGGCATTGCGGCTGCGGTTTGGGCGCCACTGCCAACTGCTCCGCCGGTGAATTGGGGTGGCATCTGATGGATATTGATGATCTGCTGCATAGTGGGTGCCCCTGAAGTACCCTGGGTTTGCGTTTGTGGTGCTGCTGCACTGGCTCCATTTGGCGCCGTCGCCTTAGTAGAACTGCCTACGGACGAGGATGTGGCTGATGGCGCACTGGTCGCCGCACTGGCGGCACTCTTATACTGCAACATGGCAGTGCTTTTAATTGAGTTTTCGTCAGTCACAAGTGCTCCAAGCGAAACATGTCCACTTTTTTCATTTGCTCAGACGCGCAACATTACCAGGCGACTTGGGATTAGTGGTATTCAAATGAAGGCAGCACACATAGTGTTATGAACACTGAGGCGCGGCGAGCGGGAGTCGTTGCTTACAATCGAACACATAAATAACCCGAATTTCAACGGAAATGGCGATGGAAAACGATTTAAGCCAGATTTTAGTTTAATTTTGTTTTGACAAACACAAACGCAAAAAATAGAGTGATCGGCCAGGGTTGCAGTGCGCTGCCTATCGATGGTCTCCTATAAAGCAATCGATAATTGCAGTGCGATAGCACTAACAAGATGAAGTGGAGAGGAGGCGTGACCCTGATACACAAAGAATTTTATAAATAAGCCGGCAACAAGTTACCGCTTCTATTCCAATTGCTGTTCCACTATAAACATGGAGGTGGATCCCGAGGAAGCTGCACCATCAGTTCAAGCTTCAGTTCATCAAATCAAGCTTACGATGAGATTGATGTCCAAACAATACGTTGCTATAATCGGTAAACTTGGTTTAAAAGCCATAAGTTTCCAACCCACTCCGGGGGAAGCACTCAATAAGCTGTTCCAAAGGATGAGCTCCGGTCTGGCTGAATTCGTTTGCATCTCGAATGAAAGCATTCATAAATTAATAATTTTGTATATTGGGGTGGCCGCAAAGTCTTTTTGGGGCTGAACTCTCTCAATCTGGATATGTACTCTGAGCGGTTACAGGAAATTGTAATTGTCCTAACAAAAGCTAATTCTAAATTAGGCCATGTAACCTAACAAATTAACGCCGAATTGGCAAGGTACATCATGGCGTCATTTTCGGTATTAGTTGCGAATTAATCTGACCGGTTTTCCTACAAAAAATTATTAAGAAGTTGATAATAAGGCTAGCCCAATGGCCATGGATTTTATTATATATATTTGGATGTTTGATTGGAACTCTTTAGTATTGATTTGATATCATATGAAATTATTATCATGGCCTCAACGAAACTAGTAAGGATAACCAATGATTTTGTAATTCCAAATTTAAACAACGTTTCTATGTTCTCCAGCTATTATTTGCTGGCCTGGTGGTCATTATGACTGACTACTGCTGTGCGGGACTCCTGGACGAAGTTGTCCCCACCATCATAACTGAGTTTTATAGTCAAGCACCAACAAAGGAGGGATATCGCTTTAAGTAAGTGAAGTTTGGTTCCAGAAAAAGCCGGGAGATCTCTCAAAACTGGCCGTTTTTCAGCTCGGAGGAGCCTAATGGCAGCAAACGAGAAGAAGTAGGAATGATTCTTAACCCGGGCACCGAAAAGGAGGAACTCGTTGTGATGGGCTCCTACTTTACCCACGACGAGAAAACAGATACGGACACCGTGACTATGTATACGGCCGACAAAAATGGCTATAAAGCACGCTATGAAATTAAGAATAGAAAACTGAGTGGCGGCGCCCTTAAGACTGCAGCTGGATAAAAAGTAAAGGATTAAAACAAAAACTAAAAAAATTAAGTAAATTAAATTAGCAATGTACAGAAGTACGAAATACATTGTAAATATTAGATATTTAAAGAAATAGAAAACACTATACCATAATTATAACCATATATTAACCGATTTGTTTCGGTTTTATTTACTGAGGGTAATCCGTTCGAAATGGCGTTTAAAAGGTAGTATATAAAGTCTTCTGCTTCAGGATATCCGTTATTGTAAGAGACCTATTCTACGATGGCCTCCGCAAAATTGGTGAGTAGTTGCTTCAAAGTAAAAGTAGTACACAGAACATGTTTCTTTCATGAACAGCTTCTTTTCGCCGCATTGATTGTCCTTATGGCAGTCAACTGTTCCGGTGGGATTTTGGAAGCTATTATTTCCCCCATTATAGAGACAGCTGTGGGAGTCTTGGATCCGGGCACCAATTCAATCCAAGTCACGAATGAGACCCCTGAAAAGCAGGACCGTTATGAAGAGAAAAATAGACAACTGAGTGCGAGCTCCCTCAAAGCCGTGGCTGGATAAAATAAGAAAATTAAAAGTGTAAATAATAAATATGTAGAAATGTTTTCAAGAACATTTTAAAACGAAGTCATAAAACTGCAAAAGAATAGCCTAAATTGAAATAATTAATTAGTAACATTAAAAAGAATATTAAAATAAAGAAGTAATCTTCCAACTATCTGAAAAATGTGCTTATATAATAACGTGACAATTAGTTTCGGTTTCCAAAAGATTAATCCATCCGAATTGGTGTTTAATACTAAGTATATATAAGTACTTATAATAAGGTAATAAGGGGTATTTTAAGGTTTCCCTAGCTATTATTGTACTATATGAAATCTGAAATTAACTTCCTTGTGTATACATACGATTCATAAAACCAATTAATTTTAAGGAATTCCTCCTATTGGATTCAGTTATACCCAATTCTTTACAAAGAGATTTTATTTGGGGTTTTATTAGATACAAACTATAAAATACAGAACCCGATTGGAACTTGCTTCGATTAGCTTTAGTCCTAAATCTAAATGGATGAGGTGGCGTAGTCGGTTGGGAACTTGAAGAGATGCTTTCCGGTAGCCTGAACAGAGGGCAGGAGTCCGGCATTGGGAATGATGTTCCATGAGAGGTACAGCGATACGTTGCGGTTGTCCTTAAGACCATTTCCATCGTCCCAGAAGTAGTACTTGGTGTTCATGTTCTTGAAGTCAAGCACGGCGTTCTCACCGCGCAGGATGATCTTGTCCCATAGCACAACCTGGTTGAGCTGGTTGGCAGGAGTCTGGTACTCAGCGGTCAAATAAAGGAACAACTGCTTCACATTCCAGTTAAAGATTCCGGTGAGGTTGGTCTGCAGGTCAAATGTAACAAAGCCCAGGTCGTGCTTCTCCCGGGAAGCTCCGTAATCAGGGACATTCTTCACCAATACCCGAATCGTGTTGATGTTAGCATCGGTCCGATAGTCCAGGAATACAGTGGACAAGAAGCAACTGAATGTGAGGCAAGCGAGGACGCTCAGTGTGTACGCCACCGTGGCGTTTCCTCTGGTTAATACCGTGTGCATGCTTAAATCGTTAAATCCCTGCGAATCCGGCAATTGACACGTCGTGTTTTGTTAGTTTGGAAAAATTAGAGCTGGTAGAAAAATTACACTCTTTCGATACTATCGATAACTTTCCCGGTTCGGCCGAATATTTTTTTATTTCCCGGTAAGATTTTGAGGGTGGAAAACAAAATATCAGGGAAAATTCGTCAAATAATCTATTAAATACTTAAATAATTTATACAAATATTTTAGGTTCTTAATTGCCCTACAGCAATTTTGAAGTCACGCATTTTAGTGCCGTATGGGCACACTTACACCGTTCCTATATTCATTTGCATTGAATCATAACTACAACTTAAAATTTTAAATATAAATTAAGAAATGTAAAGCAAAATACCTATAGTCAACAGAGTAATTGAAATATTTTATCGATTTAATTTATTGCCTTTTAAATTAGTTTTGATAAAAACATTTCCAGCGAATTGATAAACCTTTTTATTAGACAAGTCTAATTTATTAATAAATTGATATAGGTAATGTTCATATCTAATTACCAAAAATAATACATTATTTTTTACATAGTACATATGTGAGGAACAGAACTGATAACATTTAAATTCTCTTTATTGTTAGTAAACAATGCAAACAGCCAAGTGTGACCGCGAAGGTACCATTCAAATATACCACCACGCCGGAAACGAAAGTGAAGGGAGAAACATCGATGGTAAGTTTATATCGCGAAATGCAGTACGGTCCTACCTTTTCTTTCAATATCCGGGAATAATATGGCGATCCGAAACTCTGAAGATAGACAGAGAATTTAACACTGCTGAAAAATTGATTAATTTGCTAGCAATTTTTAACGGTAATACGCGCAAATATCGCCAAATTATTGGCGAACGTGTGGGGCACGAAATGTGCTAGTTTTCCGGACTGTAAATGCCAGTTAATTGGTGAAAATCGCCATCGGAATAGTGGCAAAAAAATTTTCCCTCAGTCGCTCTGCTATTTTCTGCCTTCGTCTGCGCGTGCGAGCGGGATGGCAACAGCGGCCCGACTGGCTGCGTCGGGGCATCGCGTGTGTGCGAGCGAGAGAAGGCTATCGACCAAGCGAGAAACGCATACGCCAAAGTCGAAAAGTGATTTTTTCTTCGCTCGTTCGGGCGAAGTCGAAACTGCTGCAAAAAGTTTTATAAATAAAGTACTGCAATTGCATATGCTCAAATGTTATTAAACTCGCAAAGCTCAACCTTCGATTTGGTGTTTTGGCGGCGTCTCCCCTGTGCGATTATATAAATAGTGAAGCACGTTGCCCAAAGTCCTAATTGCGCATCGATTCGTTTTGTATTCGCGAATAATCGAAATTGGCAAAGTGAAACGAGGGGAATTTTAGTGATTTAGTAGTGTGCATTTTTTGTTTCGTTTCGCACCTGAACAATTTTCGGTGTAAAAATGTGAATCAGTGGAAAGGCATCGAAATGGAATGGAATGGGAGAATTAAATGCGAACGAACGATGTACGAACGAGTGTAAAAAGGCAAAGTGAAAGAATGCGCAGCGTTGCCACCCCGCTCTCTCATATGTGTGTAATTGAATGTGTGTGCGTGTGTGTTAGTTTCTTTGCCCATCGCACAATATATATATATATATATGCATATATAAACCAATTCCTAACAATATCCAAAAATCAATATAACCGAAGAACCTCTTTTTGTTGATGTATTTTTGTGCTATCATCGAACCTCCTTGAAAAACACATCAACAAATTTGTTAAATTTACTTAAAGTGAGATAATTGGGACTAATTTCTGTTTACCCACTCAAAAAATTAAATTAATAATAACACCAAAAAATATATAAATAGCTATAATTTCTATCCCTTCTTCCTTCTTTCTAAATCCCAAAAGGACGCGCAAACTGAAAGTAAATCAAGAAGAAAAACCCCAATAAAAATAACCTCCAGCGAGAGAGTAAAATGAATAATGATGCGAAAACCCATGATTGCGATGACTTGAATGTGCGCTCTACGGCGTATTTTAACCAACAAACCACAACCAACCAACCGAAAGCAACAAGCAAAAATAACGCAGGCTCAGGCTCCAATAATAATAACAATAACACCAATCAAAAGCCTAACCGACAGTTGAATCATAATTTACCCCGTATTGCTGCCGCCAGACATTCGATAGCCGCCGCTCTACTGGCTAACAATAGTTTGAAAAGCAGTGGTCGCAAGATCCTGTCGGCCAAGAATGAGCCACTGACGACAACGACGACGACAACACCGACTGCGGAGTCATCAGGCGCAATAATCACCTCACCATTACCCAGCAATAACCGATTGAAAGTTAACAACAATAACACTGCCAAGATGTCTGGAACCAGTAGCAGTCAGAATTCGGCCACGCCCACACCGCCCACGGCCACTGGAAGTGTCAGCGGTAGCGGTTCCACGGTCATAGCCAATCCCGCTTCTGTGACCAACACTGGAGGAGCAGGAAGTGCAGCCAAATTCCGATCCGCCGTGGCATCAGCGCCCAGCCAAGCACTGCCTGCTACAAACGCTCCCACAACTGCAACTACAACAGCTCCTGGCCCCAGTAGTAGCTCATCCAGCTCCTCATCCTCGAAGAAGACTCGAGCAGCAGTGGCCGCCCTGAAGCGACAGGTGGCCTTGCAACAGCAGCAGCCCATCTCCGGTAATACCCCCAACTTGACCAGCAAGGATTCGGCGCATTTGAAATTCGCCGCAACCACTCTGCTGATGGGCGCTGCCGCAGCTGCCGCCGATAGCAACGCTGGCGCTGCTACCGGTGGATCAGGAGGAGCATCTGGATCGGGTGGAGCAGGGGGAGGGCCTAGAATGGCTCTCAATCCTGCTGTGGATGTGGCCAATGCCGCCGTCTTGCTCAAGCAAAAGCTTAAGGACGCGGCTGCAGCTGCCTCGGCTTCTGCTTTCAATCGATCCGCCACCTCGTCCATGTCATCAACCGCCTCCTCATTGTCCTCGTCGGCGGGCATCGCGAGTGCCATCTCCGAGTTCTATCCCCAGCCCGTCACCACAGACCTGTCTGAATCGGAGGAGGAGTCTGTATCAGAGGTGAGTGGGTTGTGTCTCTCCTGCTTTTAAGCCACTCTGTAGTGTTCTTTTCTATACCATTGAAAACCTAGTTTCAGGTCTTAAATTCTGCCATGAGCATAGTCCTTCTTAAGTGTATTTTGAAAAACATTCGCTTCAAAGCTTTCTCGCATGTCCTCCGAACTTTTGGAGAAAAGAATAGTATATAGTTTTAGAAAATTCTCAATTTTAGCTCTAAATCTCTAAAAGTATAACTAGTTTTGCAACAAAGCTTTAAACGTATAGAGAGCTTTATTTTTATTATCTCATCTACTCATCGGTACTTATAGTGTTAGTTATTTGACTTGAATGTCTTAATTCGTGTCATTAGATAAATTAAAAGCCAAACAACTAGAAATATATATCTTTCGTGAACAACATGAAATATGTATGTAAGTTCTTTATAGTTATGATATTTTCTTCAGTTAGTATAGAATTTTCTTTAACCTTTTCATGACTAGAATTCCCTTGCATAAAACTTTCTTTAAATAAAAGTAGAAATGGTTGTTGCTGGATTGGTACTTTTCTTAACATTTGTTTAAGAATTTATAAAGATAGATTAATAGCGTTGCCTTATCACTTGGCTGACACCATATCAAAAAAAGTGTCCAAGGGTACAAACACTTTCATAGTAAATCCACGCTTGCCGATCCGCAGATCCGCATTATTTCAGTTGTAAGTTTTATTTTACGTGGGGAAATACCTCAAATCGAATTGATCGCACGTATATGTACTGCAAATGTTTGTATGTATGAGACACGCAGTTGTGTTGTTGTAGCGAGAGTTGTTCATCTCTTCTTCTCTTTACCTTCCGGTGTCTTAAAGTGTTTGTGTGTGCTAGCCCTTTTATCTTGGCAGTGTGGGTGAATCATTTATCAGCTGTTTGATTGCTCGATGATTTGCGCTTGTATGCGTAAATACCTATTTCTTTGTCTAGCACACTAGCGAAATTGCAAAAAAAAAAATGTAAAAGCTTTTTATGCTGCTGCGTCTTAATTAAAATCAAAGGTCATTGCATCGATGGCATCTTGTAATTGACCCGCTGCATCTCCCACGTAAATCAGTAGTTTAATTTCCTCGCTGCTTGCACATGTACATAATTTTTTCGACTGCTTTCGCGAATTCTCTTTTGGGCAGCGTGACAAAGATGTCAGATGAAAATCTGGCAACGCCGTTGCAGCTGCTGCTTCTTTCTAGCTGGTGTTTTTGTTGTTGCAGCAGTGATACGTATGTGAAACACTTGAAAATAACAATAATAAATAAAAGCAATAAAAATAATAATGCACTTTGAGTGTAATGAACTTTGCGAACTTTTTGGTCAGGAGGAGACAATTTACTGATTATTTTCTGCAGTAGCGTGCAAACCTTTTACGGTTGATTTTCTTTTTCACAAATTTACCAGCACACACACATACCAATGCACAGCAACGAGAACAAACGAACTGCTGCTGTTGAACTCGTTCATGATGAATTTTTGTTTTAGGTTCTCTTCTCTTTGGGTTTTTCTCCTTTCCGCTGCCGTTTCTCTGCTTCTCTAGTTGCTTGGTTATGTTTCTTGTATGTTCTTTTGTTCATTCATCAAAGGTTAAGCAGACAGCACTTGGCCTCGTGTTGAAAATGTATTTCGGCAATTCTTTTTGGCATTTCCTTTTTTTTTTGTTCAATAATTTAAGGCGTGGGCGTAAACACACAAGCACACGCACACACGTGCAGATGGTGGTGAGAGTGTGAGCGTCCCGTATGTATGGAACTGCACTCTCCGATTCATGCGGCTCTTTAAATTCTCTAAAAAAAACTATGTGGTATGAGTACTATGAGGGTCAATAATTTTTTTTTGGCTTAAGCCTCGACAAGAAAATAAGCATGTAGTAAAGGAAAACCATTTAATTGTTAGTCTTGTTTTTGATAGTTTTCACTCTCTTCTCCTCCTTGTCTTCTTCTGTTATCGATAATTACGGCTATAGGCCAGCCTGACACCGCTTTTTGAGACGCATTGGCAACGCTACCCGAACATTACTAATTCTGTTGAAGTATTCAAATATATTTTTTTTTTGATTCGCCATGCAGTTTTTGTCATATTAGAAACTCGTAAATGTTAAATTACCCCAAAAATAAAATAGATTTGTTTAAATTTTGGTTATAAACGAATTTCAAGGCTCATTGAGGAGAAGCACAAAGAATAAGGCAGGAATGATCGACCGGCTATTTAATTGCTCGCTCTTTCGAAACTTGACTAAAGTGATGATACGAAGTTTCCGATCCAGCGTGGATTTTCTGCTGCAGTCATTCGTCCACGTAAATCGGTTGTAGACCACCCTCCTATATAGTCCAACATGCCCACAAAAATCTACAATCTCTACTCTCTCTGTTTGCGTTAATTTTTATTATTTATGTACACGTTTCTTTCGTTTCTCTTTATTTGTAGATCCTATTGGCATTCTTGTGTTTAAGGCCAGATCTCCTGGTAAGTTTCAGTTTCGCGTTATAAACCCGTTTCCCAATCCGCTTTCCAAAAAATGTAATAAAACCACATCAGAATAAGTCAAAATTAACCGAAGACAAAAGAAAGTACATAAAGCTTCAAGACCGCAAGTTCTACTAAACTATTAATTTTCGCCAAATAATTGATCGATTCTTAACCCAATTACTCCGCTTCATCCTCGCACACCTCAAAAGACTCACCTAAAAACCACACCACTTTGTTGCTGGCCTTAGACAACAAGAATGTGCTCTACTGATCAACTATTATATAGCTTCTATAATTTGTAACTTCCAGCTAAATATATTTAAATATATTTGTAGGCAACTCTTTACTACTCACCCTCAGTAAAAGATTTGAGTTCGTTAGTAGAAAATACATAGTTTGAATTGACGACTGTCACAGTCTAACGAAACGAAATGTGTTTTACTCTCTTTCAGGACGATATTCCCGAATCGGATCCGGATAGTTGCCCGCACGAGGGCGAAGTGCGCGAGGATGAGGACGAAACCGAGGAAGAGTCGGAGGATTCTGAAGAGTCCGAAGGTGACGACGAAGAGGACGAAGAGGAGATTGGTAAGTGCAATCACCTTTTCAACCTGTAGAATACATTATATTAAGTCCTTGACTATTATTCCAATAGATGTGCTGCAGGACAACGATGCGGACGACGAGGAGATCGACGATGAGGACGAGGAAGAGGACGCGCCTGAAGTGAGTTCCTTCCTGCTGGACGCGAACAATAAGCGTTCCAGTAATCTCACCGCCCTACTCGAGGCCGCGGCCAACGAGAAGGCTCCTGTCCTACGCCACGCTACCCACGCCATCGACGAGACCAAGCAGGCATTGACCAAGATGCGCTGTGCCAACAGTCCCCGCGATAAGAAGTTAGTATCTACTTATCCTCTTTTTCAGGAAGGCCTTCGTCGATATTAACTGGGAATGTGTTCCTTTTGCAGCAGTGGATTTTCCAGATCCCTTGTGGCCGCCTGCACGGATAATGATGTCAATACGGTGAAGCGGCTGCTTTGCAAGGGCAACGTCAACCTGAACGACGCAGCAGCTTCCACGGATGATGGCGAATCCCTCCTTTCGATGGCTTGCTCTGCGGGCTACTACGAACTGGCTCAGGTATATTCCAAATGTTTCTAGTCTCGTGTTTTTCCCCATTTTGACCTTTCATATACGATCGCTTTCATCGTTCCGCTCAGATGAAAACAGATATAATAGAAATCACTGAATATTTATTATATAAAAAAAATCTTATGGCAAATCGCCGGTGTGGCAACGCCGTTTTTCGATCGGCCTATCGATAAATAGCCCCGAATTTATTTAGTAGCAGGCACAACACAATCCTGCTGTAGTGAAAAAAGACCAATATTTAGTGATTACGTGGGCAAATAAAGACTTTCAATCTAGCCATTATCCTTATCTTCGATTGTTACAGGTTTTGCTGGCCATGTCTGCAGCTCAAGTGGAGGACAAAGGGCAAAAGGACTCGACGCCGTTGATGGAAGCGGCTTCCGCTGGTCACCTGGACATCGTCAAACTGCTGCTTAGCCACAACGCCGACGTGAACGCCCACTGCGCCACCGGCAGCACTCCGCTCATGTTTGCCTGTGCCGGTGGTCAGGTGGACGTGGTAAAGGTGCTTCTTAAGCACGGCGCCAATGTTGAGGAACAGAATGAAAATGGACACACACCCTTAATGGAGGCAGCCTCAGCCGGCCATGTGGAAGTAGCTAAAGTAAGTGGCAACTAGAGTAGAGTGTAGAATGTTTGCTGTACACAATCCAAATGATTATAATCCGAGATTTGAGAATGTTGGCACACCTGCGACATGAATCGAGTTATTGATTGGTCTGAGGCGCGATGCCAGCTCTGTGATTTAGTTTGATCTTATCTGATGCATTCGACAGAATTTGTTTTTAGTTGTGTACTGTGTAACAAACTTGAATATTTATAATTGGATATCCCTGTTACCATTTAGGTGCTGCTAGAGCATGGAGCCGGCATCAACACCCACTCAAACGAGTTTAAGGAGAGCGCCCTCACACTTGCCTGCTACAAGGGACACCTGGACATGGTGCGATTCCTGCTGCAGGCAGGTGCTGATCAGGAGCATAAAACCGACGAAATGCACACGGCCCTGATGGAAGCTTCAATGGACGGCCATGTGGAGGTTGCGCGTCTGCTACTGGACTCTGGTGCTCAGGTGAACATGCCTACGGACTCTTTTGAATCCCCTCTAACTTTGGCTGCCTGTGGCGGCCACGTGGAGTTGGCCACCTTGCTAATCGAGCGAGGCGCTAATATCGAAGAGGTGAACGACGAGGGCTATACCCCGCTCATGGAAGCAGCTCGCGAGGGCCACGAGGAGATGGTAGCCCTGCTTCTTAGTAAGGGTGCAAATATTAATGCCACAACGGAGGAGACGCAGGAGACAGCCCTAACATTGGCCTGCTGCGGCGGGTTCAGTGAAGTGGCCGCCTTTCTGATCAAGGAGGGCGCTAACCTGGAGTTGGGCGCTTCCACGCCCCTCATGGAAGCCTCACAGGAGGGACATACTGATCTGGTCCGCTTCCTGCTGAAGAACAAGGCTAATGTTCATGCGGAGACGCAGACGGGTGATACCGCTTTGACACATGCCTGCGAGAATGGACATACAGATGCGGCAGGTGTCCTTTTATCCTACGGAGCTGAACTTGAACACGAATCCGAGGGTGGAAGAACGCCGCTGATGAAGGCCTGCCGCGCCGGACACCTGTGCACTGTCAAGTTCCTCATTCAAAAGGGCGCCAATGTTAATAAACAGACCACCAGTAATGATCACACTGCCTTGTCCTTAGCTTGTGCAGGCGGCCATCAGTCTGTGGTGGAGCTGCTTTTGAAGAACAATGCCGACCCGTTCCACAAGCTTAAGGACAACAGCACCATGCTGATCGAGGCTTCTAAGGGTGGACACACTCGAGTGGTAGAGCTGCTCTTCCGGTACCCGAACATTTCGCCCACGGAAATTGCAGCAGCTGCAAATGCTAACCAAACAGCCCAAGCAACCACAGCACCTCAAGCTGGCCCAAATCAGATGCGCCAAAAGATTATGAAACAACATCTTCAGCATCAATTGCAGCAGCTTAATGCTCCCCCTGGATTGCACGAGTTGTCAGAGGCTGCAAGAGCATCGAACCAACAACATTTCCACCAGCAACAGTTCAGCAGTGCCGGTAACGGATCTTCCAACATCGTTGCCATGGGAACTGGTGACTTCCTAGATGCCGGAGAGCTGCAATTAACGGCGACGGCGGGAATGGGCGCTGGAGCTGGAGCCAGCACAACGGGCAGTGAGGCTGGTATGGAAGAGTATGGGGAAGTCGGAGGAATAGACCTCACCACTCTAGGCGCTCAGCAGCAAGAAGGACTCATTGCCAAGTCGCGACTATTCCACCTTCAGCCTGGCTTTGAGCAGCAGCAGCAGCAACAACAACAGCAACAACAACAGCAACAACAACAGCAACAGCATCAACAACAACAACAACAACAACAGCAACCTTCTGCAACAGGCCAGCACCAGTTAGTGCCGTGCAAACACTTCGACCTGGATATGGAGCACATTAATTCCCTGCAGCCTCCGCAAAAGGCTCCACCAGCTCCACCTGTACTCTTCCACACTGTTTGCCAACAGCCTGTTATGCAACAACAGCAGCAACTGCAGACTGGTCAGGGAAAGCTAAAGGACATGAACCCGAACCGACATCGCGGGATAAAAGCTGGCGAGGTGGTGGAGTTTATTGACTGCCCATTGGATCAGCAACATCAAGGCGAGCAGGTGCGTTCACAGCCCTTGGGTGAGGATGGGAAGACTCCGCAGTTTGCTTGTGCTGGAGAGGATCCAAGGCTGCAACGACGACGCGGGTTTATGCCGGAGGTGAAGAAAGGTGAATTGCCGCCGGAGGGTAGCAGCAATGAGCCTAACGAGCTAGCCCTCAAAGGTAAGTTAAATCATTTTTATAAGTGAACTATTTTTTTATATTTTTTACTAAATTATTAAAGGAGCCGATAACAATCAGCCCGTTACGACAGCATTGGACAATAGTGCCTGCGCCCAGATCCCAGCGGTATGTTCTTAAATCATATTTGGAGAATGTCTTCTATAAAAAATTATTTTTTGGTAATTTTAGCGAAACTCCGGTGGAGCCATTACCCATTCCTCGGAAGTTCTACAGAGCACAGCCATCAGCGACAGACCAAAGGTTAAAGCTACTAACAAGAGTAACCGCAAGCAGGCAGCGGCAGCGGCTGCAGCAGCGGCTCAGCATGCCCAACAGGTGTTGCCTAATCTGCAGCAGAACCCTATGGTATCCATCTATAATAACCTTGTAAGTGATGCTCACATTAGCCGAAATAATGCTAACCAATTTTAGTAAATTAATTTACCTAAAAAAAACTCTTATTTGTAGCATTTGCAGCAGTCGCATCTACAACTTCAACAGCATCTGCAACTTCATCACCAGCGAGTTGCACTAGATAATGCAGCGGCTGCAGCGGCAGCAGCGGCTTCATCTGCAAACATCGCCTACTCTAATTCCCCAGCTTCTCCTCTCGCCTCACCAACTGGCACCGGCAACTATGTTGATCAGCAGCAGCAGTCTTTGGATGTAGCCCTTCAGCGGAAAACAGCCATGGAGGATTTTCGTGGCATGCTAGAGACGGCGGTGAATGGTTCGAGAGGCAGAAAGGACCTTGCCCTTAATACGCCCCAGTTGAACTTCTTCAAGGACGGTTGGCATATGGTGGGAGTGCACAATTTCTTTGGCGATCAGCCAAAGTCGCCCACTGAGACTCCGCCGGAGATGGAGGAGACCACAATGTCCTCGCCAACTGAAGCGGATCGTCTGGGATCTGAGCCCCGGGGCGAGATGAAGAATCTGGCTACCCTTTGCTCGGCCGCAGCAGCTGCCGCTGCTGTCGCTGCCGCTAACAAAGATCAGGAGGAAATAAGTTCGGAGCTTGAGAGTGAATGCGAGGACGACGTAGACGTCGAAGGTGGTGCTGGTGCAGATGGAGAGGAAAACACACTGCCGCCGGAGCCCATTGAATTAGCTGCTGCTTTGCGCGAAGATGGCATCATTGTTGAGGAAGAGGAGGATGACGAGGAAGATGACGATGATGACGAAGAGCAAGACACAAATAGCGGGGAAATCCAAAAACTTAACTCTGACGACGAAGATGCTGAGGTGGACAACGATGGTGAGGTAGACTACATTGACGAGGACGAAGGTGGTGGCGATGGCGAGGACGAAGAGGACGACGGAGACGATGATGAGTTCTTTTTGGATGAACCTGACAGTGATCAAGGGCCCGGAAACAATAATAACAACTCAAAGAGCGGTGCCAGTTCGTTGCCTCTTAAGCAGCGGAAAATGAACACTCGCCTGGAGAACCTAATCCTCACCTCGCAGACGTTGTGCGACTTCCCGCCTGAAATCACCAACTCGGAGCTGGTTCATGTCCTGCCACAAATAAGCAATCTCAAGGCGGCGGCCAGTAGTAACGCGGCGCTAAACAGCGTTCTCCAGCAACAGCTGGCAGCTGCTACCGCGGCAGCTGCGCACGCCAAAGCTGCTGCAGTCCATCAGAAGCAGCAGCTCCAGTACCAAGAGGGAGATCAGCAATGCGGTAGGATCACAGATACTGATATACTAGTACTTATTGCTTATATAAATTGTCTTATTCTCTCTGCAGAAGACGATGGCGGGGCTAGCGCAAGTGAGTTATATTCCGGCCTGGAGCACTTTGCCAATGATGGCGAAATGGAGGATATATTCCAGGTAAGTTAGTTTAGATAACAGAGAATTAAAATTTTAGTTGATTTTATAAAATAATTAACTATACATTTTTACCCATTTTTACAATTTGTAACAGGAGTTAGCTAGTAGCTTGAACTACCCGGAGTTAGCTGAGTTTAGCCTGAATCAGATGTGCAAGGGTAGGTTTGCTGGAAATTGGGCGCAGTCGTCTGCCAAGTGGACCGGTCAAGAGCAGTTGGTGGGCGTGGTAAGATCGCCGGGTCTCATTAACCCTGGCGATGTTCCACAGGATGCTCAACGACAAGCAAATCTCGTCCTCCTGGACTATCCCATGCAGCAAAACATTCAACTCGAGCAGCGCTTGCTCGATGCTGAGGAAATGCACCTGCAGGTTGGTTTTATTTCTACCATTTATGGGATACAGATTATTTATAGTTTTTTTCACTTTCGTAGCAACACCAGCAAACTCCGCTTTCATTACTACCCTTTACGGATGACCAACAGCAGCAGCTTCACCATCAAGCTTTGCCAAATGCCGCTGACTTTCATCAGCACCAACAGCTCGCTTTGGAAAACGATCCGGAGCTAAAGCAGCAGCTACAGCAGTACTCCAATGCGCGCATTATAAAGGCCGTGGCTGCCCAGCATCAACATCAGCAGCAACCTGCCACCAACTTTGTCTACAACGTGGAGAGTAGCGACAAGAATGCTCCGCCCGTGCAGTTGCTCTTTCAGCTGCCTCCAAACATGACCCAGCATCAGGCGCAACAACAGCCTGTTGGAGAGCCCCTTACCGAGCAGCAGCAGCAGCAGTTGCAGGCTGAGCAGGCTCATCTCTTTCAGCATCGAACCGGCGGTCAGCGTCCGCCTACCCAAAGTGAACTAGAGCAGGTGGCCCAAGAACTACTGCTCCAAAGGAGTGGCCAGGTGCCAGCAGGAGCTCCCGTCGTCGGTGTCCAGGCACTTCCTCTTAAGCAAAAACACTTCAACCTACAGGAACAGTTGCTTCTGCACCCACCACCGCATATGCAGGCGCCCACGTGTGTTCAGCATCAGGTAAGTGAATCAAATTGAAGGGAGTCAACATGGAACTTATCATTAATTAATCTTCCAGGTGGCCACGCAAACGCATCCAGCTTCTGTGGTAGTGCCGCAGCCCGTTCAGTACACGCAATACCTGCAGCCTCCCCAGCAACAACAGTTGCAGCAGAATGAACTCTCAATTTGGCCGATGGGGACACCTACTCCAACACCCAGTAGTGGAGTGAGCAGTACCAAGTCGATGCCCGGTGGCATTGCGAAAAAGGCCATTGACAAACAGTCGCGCAAGGATCGTCGCTGTGTGATGCGCCAGACACCAGCTGGCAGTCAAGGTAGGTTTCCCTTTCAAACATAACATTTTATAACATTCTTTGCAGATTAACCTCTGAAGTATACTTTTTATCCCCACCAGTACTGTTCTAATTTAATTTAAAATCATTTTATCCACAGTAAACACCAACCAGCATCAACAACCCCAGGTCGCAACAGCCCAGCAACATGTCCAACTTCAGAATCAGTTGGCTGTTGCAAACACCGCGAGTGTCGACAAGACTATCGAAATTGATTCGGAGACGGAGTCAAACCACGACACCGCACTAACCCTGGCTTGTGCCGGCGGTCACGAGGAACTGGTGGAACTGCTGATAAACCGGGGAGCGAACATCGAACACCGCGACAAGAAGGGATTCACTCCGCTTATCTTGGCTGCCACTGCGGGCCACGACAAAGTTGTTGACATTCTGCTCAAGCATAGTGCAGAGCTAGAAGCACAATCAGAGCGCACCAAGGATACGCCCCTGTCGCTGGCGTGTTCTGGCGGCCGCTACGAGGTTGTGGAACTTCTGCTCAGCGTTGGTGCCAATAAAGAGCACCGTAATGTATCTGACTACACGCCATTGAGCTTGGCTGCAAGTGGGGGCTATGTGAACATCATTAAGCTGCTCCTCAGTCACGGAGCGGAGATTAACTCGCGCACCGGCAGCAAGCTAGGCATCTCCCCACTAATGTTAGCCGCCATGAACGGTCACACACCGGCGGTTAAGTTGCTTTTGGATCAAGGATCCGATATAAATGCCCAGATTGAGACGAATCGCAACACGGCCTTGACTTTGGCCTGCTTCCAGGGACGTTATGAGGTCGTAAGTCTCTTGCTTGATCGACGAGCAAATGTAGAGCATCGGGCTAAAACAGGACTGACGCCCCTAATGGAGGCTGCCTCTGGTGGTTACATGGAGGTGGGTCGCGTTCTGCTGGACAAGGGAGCCGACGTGAACGCTGCTCCAGTACCTACCTCTAGGGATACAGCCCTCACCATTGCCGCCGACAAGGGACATCAAAAGTTCGTTGAACTTCTCCTTTCCCGTAATGCCAGTGTAGAGGTAAAGAATAAGAAGGGTAACTCCCCACTCTGGTTGGCTGCCCATGGTGGTCACCTCAGTGTGGTGGAACTTCTTTACGACCACAATGCTGACATTGACTCACAGGATAATAGACGAGTTTCTTGTCTGATGGCTGCCTTCCGCAAGGGTCACACCAAGATTGTAAAGTGGATGGTGCAGTATGTGTCGCAGTTCCCCTCCGACCAAGAGATGATCCGCTTCATTGGCACCATCAGTGACAAGGAGCTGATCGACAAGTGCTATGACTGCATGAAGATCCTGCGCAGTGCTAAAGAGGCCCAGGCCGTCAAGGCCAACAAGAATGCCTCGATCCTGCTGGAAGAGCTCGATCTGGAGCGGACACGCGAGGAGAGTCGCAAGGCTGCCGCCGCCCGTCGTCGTGAGCGTAAGAAGAAGAAGAAAATGGAAAAGAAAGAGGAGAAGCGCCGCCAGCAGCAAGGAAACGGGGCTGGCGGTGACGATATGCAAGGCGATGACGATGATGCCAGTGACAAGGATGATGATTCTGACAAGGACGATGAAGACGAAGAGGCAGCGCCGGCCGCCGCCCGTGAGGAGGGCGACTCTGGCATCGATCAGGGCTCGTGCTCAAGCGGAGACACCAAAGGTGTGCGCGTGGGTAGTGGCCAATCCGCCCAACCTACAGAAACGTCAGCAAATTCCGGTTCAAACCCCAATCAGGGAAAGAAAAGCAAGAAGCAGCCGAAGAATAAGTCGGTTACGGTAGAACCAGTAACAACACCTACCCCTCCTGTCATCACATCTACTTCAAGCACCGTCCTCAAAGGTATTACTGTAAAGAAGCAACCGGCAGTCGAAGTAGTTAAGCAACCTGCCGCACAGCAGTCAGCTCCTTTGAAGCGACAGCTGGAGGTGAAGAAGGAGGAGCCCTCTGTTAAGAAGAAGGAGGAGAAGAATAGCTCGACCAGTAGTAGCAACAAGCGTGAAAAAGAGAACCTTGCACCCAAGGAGGTTTCACTGCCAGCCAAGCAGCAAGCCAGTAACTTCAACAAACTGCAGAGCAGCGAGTCGGCGAGCAATATTAATAGCAGCACCACTACCAACACCAGCACCGCGAGCATCACCACCCGCAAAGAAGTCGCGAAACCAGTGTCACAAACTGCTAGCAGCGCTAGTTTGAATTCTACCAAACGCAGCGAAGTAGATGGGTGGAAAGAAGTGGTTCGCAAAAGCAGCACCCAGCAGACCACAGCGGTGGGAGCGAGTGGAGCTCCAGCGCCTGTTGCAGCCACCAGTTCAGCAACCAGCGTGCAGCACCATTCACATCACCATCTGGCCAATAGCTCCAGTAACAGCTCAAGTTCCCTGGCCACGGGTACAACTTCATCGGCATCTTCGGTTCCTGAAATGACCTGCAAGAAAGTGCAGGTGCCGGTTAATGCCATCTCAAGGGTGATAGGACGTGGAGGAAGCAACATTAACGCCATTCGCGCCACAACTGGGGCCCACATCGAGGTGGAGAAGCAGGGCAAGAATCAATCGGAGCGCTGTATCACAATTAAGGGCTTGACTGATGCCACCAAACAGGCGCATATGCTTATTTTGGCATTGATCAAGGATCCCGATGTTGATATTTTGCAAATGCTTCCCAGGATCAATAGCAGCATTAAGCAATCCTCTGGTAGTGGGGCAAATGCTCCGATGGCCGTCGGTACTTGGGATAATCGCACCGCTGCCGGCGTAAATGTTTACACCTTTTCTTCGGCCGCATCAACCACCTCCACATCATCCAGTTCGTCTGCCAGTTCTACTACAGCGGCAGGAGCTGCCTACAGCAATGCGCACAAGCAGCAGCAGCAGCTGCAGCCAGTGAAGGCTCCAAGTGGACGGTCTTCGACATCTGCAAAGTCCAACGGCAGTAGCTCGAAGGTGTCAACCTCTGGTGGGTCTAGTTCCCGCAATGGCAGAAACAGTAGTGGTGGGTATCTCAGTCAGCAACAACCTGGTCGTAGCTCTGGAGGTGGCTCCGCAAATGGTGTCGCCAAGAACAAGACAGAGAGCTCATCCAAATCCCTGCCAGCAGCTCAGAAGACCAATAGCATCCCTCCGGGTAAATCTTCGACGGTGGCTCCTGCAGCTCAGAACTTTGCAAAGGCAGCGGCCATTTCACAATCCTCACCTAAAAAGGTTGAGGGCGGTGTCGCCTCTGGAGTGATCACCTCCGCTGGCGGACGCAGCAGTGGCGTGGTGGCTCCATTTGGACGTGGCAAACCCGTTGCTGGTCAAGCAACTTCTGCAACTACATCGGCCACGAATGTTGCCCAGCTGGGAAGTGGCAGCAGTAACAGCAACAGCAATAGCAACACTAACATATTGGCTGGACCAATTGGCACCTTTAACGTGGCGGATGTGGCCGCCGTAAATGCAGCCGCAGCAGCAGGAGCATCAACAACAGCCAATAGGTGAAACCAATTGCACCCATTGCTCCGCCTAGTAAGCGAGTGGGATCTCCTACCCAAGTCCAGGCACCACAGCCAGCACCAGTCCCTGGCCCTCAACCACAACAACAGCAACCCCAGCAGCAACAAGCTCCTCAGCAACTCCACCAACAACAAGCGCCTCAGCAACCCCCACAACAACAACAACAGCAACATCCACCCCAGCAACAGCAACAGAATCTGGTGATAAATACAAACCTGCTAAACGATCTGATAACCGCAAGTACTGCAAACACCGCCAGCGATATCTTTAGCGCCCAACTAGCCGCCAAGTTGTCCAGCGCCTATTCCTTATTTAGTGACTACCAGCAATCGCAATGGGGCAAACTCGGGGATTCGGGCATTGGAGGAGGGGCAGGAGCTGTGGGCGATGGTCTGCCGCAGGCGGATGCCTCAAAGGCACCAGGATACAATCGCAACATCCTTAGTTCGCCCGTGGGTAGTTCCAAGGCATCGTCGAATCACTCCACCTCACCGCCAGTAGGTAATGTAATCCAGCACCAGCAACAGCAGCAACCACCCCAATCTAGCCAGCAGGCTCTGAACATAATTACCAGTGGAGGAGCTGCAGCAGCGCCAGCCAGATCACCAATGGTCTCAGCCAACGAGGGAAACCCCACAGCGGGTCAGCCCTCCATCAATGGAACCCAGGGACTAGGCGATTCTGCTCCTGCTCATTCACCGGGCGTTATTAAACCGCCCACTGTCGCAGTACCCATTCAGCGTCATGTTCCCATGCCGATCTCTGCACCGGAGCCCGGAGCCCCGCCCACATTTGGTGCGATTGGTTCGAATCCAGGAAGCGGTAACAATTCAGCGGCTGCCCAAGCAGCCGCTGCTGCTGCAGCATCGGCAATGATTGATCGCCAACAGCAGAATTTGCAGACTTTACAAAATTTGCAACGAATGGTGGGTGCCCCGCAGCAACAGCTCAATTACCCCATGGATCCTTCCGCTTCGCCTTATATTGTTGATGGCAATAACTTGTTACGCCTTAATCCTCGCGCCTCGCTCTTTGCCCAAGGTAACAAACAGCCACCACAGCCTCCGCCGCAGGGTGGAGCGCAGTCCAATATGTTTGGAGGTAATCAAGGAAGACAACCGCCGGGAGCGGGTGCCAGGCAGCCAGGAGGAGCAGCAGCACAACGTTGGTATGGCGGTTCTCTGGAGTACCCGTCTTACACGGGAAGGGATGTGCTGCACCTAGAGAACGGAGCCGGCGGAATGGCAGGTCTTGGTTCGCCGTCTGCAATGTCGCCTAACCACGACGATATTCGCAAAATGCCGCGCCCCATTGGTACAGAGCGTGCCGCATCCTGGAAGTTCAACAACTTTAATGTGGGGGCCTCAGTGCTCAGTATGGACGATGCACTGGCCAATGTTCTGCCACCATGGGCGCACGAACCGAAGGCGCAGCCTCCAGGTTTGCAGCAGCCACCACCACCACCGCAGTCACAGCAACAACAACCGCTCAATTGGCTGAAGCAGCAGCCGCAACAACAGCAGTACAGGCCCTACAACAACGGACCCTATCCGCAGCAGCAGCAGCATGAGCCAATGAATGTGAGTTGTTAGCTATTAATATTTTTCTTCCAAGTTATTCATATTTTTCTAATTTGCAGATGCCTATGGACTACCACAACATGCAGGCGCCGCCAAACATGAACCAACAACAACAGCAGCAGCACGTTAACTTGATGCCTTCTTACGGCTACCAGCATTTTGTGGGCGCTCCTGGATCGGTTGACATCTCCGCACACATGCCAGACAAGATGGAGGTGTGGGATCACCATGACAAGCACGTGAGTGAAAATTTAATAATTTAAATTATGAAGTTTACGAAGACTTAATGATGTTAATGTAAATGTAATTTAATGTTAATTAAATTAGACAATATAATTTCGTTCAAAATGTACACAACAATAAAGCCAATTGTCTTCCTTTTATAACCAGATGCCTTGGGCCAACTACACCACCAATTGGTCCAACTGATGTCTCAGCGACACTCGGAAGGAGGATCTCTTCGATACCTGTCGTTCAAGCAACTGAATGGACCAGCTATGGCTGAGCACTCTTCCAAAACTACCAGGACCCAGCAGCAACACGTCGACATCGGTAGCTGTAGCAGTAACAACATCAGCATCTCACTGATTTGAAAATGCAAAAGCGAAATAATATTTATTGAATTTCTACGTTTTCTATTCGGATTCTCGGCTTCTTCTCCCCCACTACTTAATCTTCTAAATACCTGCCAATTTTCGTGGAAACCAACAACAACAAACAACTAAACTAACATCATGAAGGACTCATGTGAAAATTGCAACATGGCTTTGTTCTATGGTTAATCGATTTAAATACTTTTGAATTTGGGTGTTAATTATATTTCGCAGCATAACTTGAAATTTAACCAGAAAAAAATCTAAAAAGAAAAGCAAAAGAAATGCAAAATGATAACAGCGAATAGCTAAGAAAGAAACAAAAAAGTTCGAAACTGGCGCCCAGGCAACTGGGAGCAATATATATTATTTATTTTTAAATGTATTAATATTTTTTGAAGAAGCATGAAGTTAGTGGTAGCTTTTTTGTGTGATGAGCGCTAGGGCAAAACGAAACGAAAAAGTAACTTTCATTCACACACATAAATACATACACATGCACTTACCCCTCCCCCGCCCGCACACACACATACAAAAAAACAAATACACCTACTACACACAGATACATTTATTTTAAGATAGAAGTCAGTCTTATGAATGAAACATTAAAATGAAATGTTTAGCGACAGCTAAAGTACACACACAAACTTTTATTACAACACTTATACATAAATACATATATATATATATATTTAATAACATTAATAAAGGCAACAAATGAATGTCAAAACTGTAAATTCTAGGCGCGCACTTTTCTCTATTCCCCTTTTTTCCCAAAAAAAAAAAAAATAAACACCACCCACAATAAGAAGCTAAGCGAAACGGGAAACTAGAACAAAGCTATGAAAACGCATGCATTCGCTATAAATTGAAATGAAACAACTACACACCACAACCGACAAAAAATTACTTAATTTAACTTACAACATATACATACCATTAACTAATACTCCCTTACTTAACGATATGTCTGGGAAAGATACCAAACAAACTTGAACGATACAACCGAGCTACAGAGTTTGGTCTGCCCTTTGGTCAGAAATGAAATTAAATGAAACGATAAGAAAAAACAAACCCTTGGTCGGTACCCCGAAAAAATGTAGCTAGTAGAAATTGAAATTGCTTAAATAACTAAGTAAAAACATCAACAAATTAATGGTCGAGTAACGTTTTAATATTCCATTTACGAGAACTAAACCACGATATATGACGATGATAATGATGAAGATGACGAGACGACGAAGCGGCGCTTGCTTGCCATCTTTGATGCTTTTCCGACACTGCTCATAGACGTACATAAAATATATACCTACCTATATTCTAGCGAATAGCATATATGAGATACATAAATTTTTATTTCGAAGAAAACTAAACTAAACAAACATGTGTAAAAACACTTGATGATAAACCCCTTCTCTTGCCTGATCTATTGGTCAGTCTGTCGCACTACCAATATGCACGAGTGAAATCCGGAAATCGGAAACGGAACCCGGACAAAAGGTCAAAGTTTGTGGGTCTCGAGTCAAGCAATTGCTTTGTAAAATTCTAGAGAAAAAAGATGCTTGAGATATAAAATGCTTAGAGAACCGTTAAATGAGCAAACCCACGCATAACCACACAAAACCCAGATTACACAATATAATGATGAATATGAAAATACGAAATAAATGATAATATACATAAGTGAGCATGAAACTACTTTTTTTCTATTTTTCAATGTTTTAGCTGCAAGCAAATAATGTAATGAGATGAGATGTTCGTTTAAGTTATTTGATACAACAAATTACGAGAAATCTATATATACCACATACAAACACACACACACCTATATGCCCGACAGGATCTTTATTCGAAAACAACAAGCGTTTTTTGTTGATAAAACAAATTATATACAACCGAATAGCTGAGGACATACACAGCCGTTATGAGATGATGATTGAGATGATCCTTGATTGAGAAAACCGCAAAAACAAAACGATGAAATGATAAAAACAAAAAGCATACTGAATAAATGTAGAATTTTTTTCAAGCGAAAGAAATTGAATTCACATAGATTTATTAATTTAAAAATTAATATAAATATACTTCAAATATGAAAAGTATAAAAACAAAAAGCAAACCAGAAAAACAAAAAAACTACATATATTAAATACACACATACTATATGAGTATACTACGGATTATTATTACTCTTATAATTATTATTATTGTATTGAAGGAAAATATAAAAGAGAACATTAAACAGCATAAATAAAAAATTACAAAAAATCTATTAGTTTGGGAAATTGTGGTCAAATGAATTGGGAAATATACAATTAAAGTCTCAATCAGTTTTTATTAAAATTATTTGTGATAATTTATTTGTGAACCTTTAGAAAATGTTAAACATTTTATTGATTGTTTAAATCTGTTAGACGAAAGGCTCAATGGTGAACTCAACCACTGAGCAGGGCGTGGTAAGTTCGAAGGCTTGCAGCACTGTTGGATGCAGGACACCAATCTTTCCAATGACCACGTTGTCGTACATGACATTAGCGCAGCGACCAGGGAAATAACTGGGATCTGTAAAGACAAAGCATTGGTGACTTCTAATCTCAAAAATTTCTGGAAAGGATTCTTACCCTCAGCTGCTTGGAGGTAATATCCTTTGGTCATGTTGGCCGTCTTCCAGGGCACAGAGAGCAGTTGCATCACGCGATCTAGGAGACCATGAACCACCTCAAAACCAGCAGTCTTGTTGCAGTTAACGGCACACACCCTTCGTTCATTACGGGCTCCAACTTCCGTGTTCTTATCCGCCACCACGACGTCGCTGATTTCGAAGAGTTTCAGTGGCAGGGGCATCTTACGATTGGCCACCAGAGTCTTGAGGAGACCCGGCAACAATGTCGTTCGTACCACCTGGAATTCCAACGTCTTGGGATTGCCGATATGCACAGCCGGCAGGTCTTCAATGTTCTTGTTCAACTTGCGACCAATATCATCCCGAGAGCAGAGAGTAAAGGTTAGCGCCTCGGTGAATCCCGCCTGGGCCACCTGTTCACGCAGTTGTTCGGTCAGCTTGTTGAGTGGGAATTGCTTGGCTATCTGCATGAAAGCCGGCAAGGATTTTTTAATGTTATTATAGCCATAGGCAATAGCTACATCCTCGTAGATGTCACAGGCGTGGATCACATCGTGCCTCGTAGGAGGAATCTTCACTACAAGCGAATCGCCATCCACCTTGGCCTCCAGATACATACGCGTCAGCATATCGGCCAACTTTTCCGCTGGCTCATCGATACCAATGTAGGCATTGGCACGCTTCACCGAGATCCGCTCCTCACGCACCTCCAACTCCGGATAGGAGAGCACGTTGCCATCAGGCTGCACCACATCGCACGGCTCAACGGTAAACTTCTGAGCGCAGTGCTCGGAGAAGAGGCAGACAATGGTGTCCAGCACCACCTTAGCCTTTGTTCGATCAGTTGCCGTGCACTCAATGAACACGTTTTTGGTCTTCAGCGAGATCTTGGAATGATCGCCGTTAATAATGGGCGGCAGCGACAGGACAACACGGTTGGCATCGTAGATTACGGGATAAACCGGAGAGTCCCGAATGATGGGCAAATATTGCTTTAGCTGGGCATGAGTGGCGTAGAAGTTCATTAGCTCGGCCCCAGTCATCTCCTTGGTTTGGTTAAGAGGCTTGAATTTAATCTGTTCCGGCGTTAGAGCTTCGTAGCTGAAAGGACCTTGCAAAGTGTCCAGATCGTGCGTTCCAATAGCCACCAGGGTGCGCTTGCGGCAAATGTTTTGGTGTAGCTTGTCCTGGAGATCGATAAAGCTATTGTAGGAAGCTTGCGTAAAAGTTACGTTGCGGAGCACAGCGGCTACAGCATACGGACGGATCTGCACCGTCGAAGGGTCAATCTTCAGCACTTGTCTCTTGACTGGCTCCACAAACTGAAACTTGGGAGGTTTTAGTCTGCAAAGGATACCATTCATTGGGTTTTCTTGATAAGACTCCGGCATTTCAAAACTCACTTGCCCTGGAACACCAATAGACCCGTAACCAGACCTTCCAGGCAAAGCAGATCGTATCGGTTGGCGGGTATATCTATTCTGTAGATTATCTCTTCGCTGGCATTCGCCGCCGCTGCCACATCGCCCTGTTCCTTGGTCAACATCTGCTTCTCCGTGGTCTAGGTAGATAATTTAACTGGTTTAACTATGTTTTTAATCAGTTTTGTTTAAGATCACCTACCACTTCATCTAGCTCCAACCCGAATGCAAAACACAGCTCCTGGAATTCGTCATCGGCTGCGGTAAAGGGGTAAACATTAGTGTACTCCACACTCGATGAAAACGTGATTACACGTGGACTCCTGAAACTCACTATATGTCTTGCCGAGGGCCTCGAACAGCAGATCCCGTTTAACTCCAATGGTAGGCATACTGAATGGATCAAGTTTAGGTCCCGGGTTGGCTTTTAAAACAGGCAAATGAAATAAAATACAAATTTACTTCGGACCGGGAATTTATAGTGACCGTATATTTATATAAATATCGCATTCCGGCTAGTTGCTGAAGGAAATGGTCACCCTAATGGAATCTGCGTATGTCGGTCACACTGCGTCTAAGCTGCACTGCTTTACCGATAAATTTAAATTAACAGAAACCGTTATGTACAAAACTTTTAGCGCAGTTTGTGTTAAAATATTAAAAAATCTCTCTACCTTTTTTTTTAGTTTGTTCGTTACGTTGCTCACACCCACCTTGCGTTGTTATATTTTACACTTTAAAAACCAAAATAACCATTTATGTACTTCAAATATTTATTTTTAAAATACTGTAAAATATATATATTCAATTATGTAAATACATCGCAGTGAACTAAATACACAATTTAAATAGTACTTCGTTAAATACTAAATACAACTTGCCGTTTCCTTTTACATCATAAGATTCACTTAATCAGAGTTATATATTTTCATATAGCTAAATGTATAAGGCCCCCTCAACAGTCCGGGCGCACAAAATGAGCGGTTAAAGAAACATGGGATCAAAATCAAAATTAAAAGCTCGACATGTATAGTAGAATATAGTTATATTTACTAAAAAAGGTTTAATGGACGTGGTCGCTCTTTCTGTAAAATTTGACTGGCAAAAAACTTATTTTGAAATTTCATTAGTTACTAATTTTGACCTGTTGACCACCGTAACGGCATCGTGTTTGATTAATGCAGTGCCTGTTCGTTTTTTGGGGGTCTACTGTTGTATCTGCATGGGGGCAGTTGGTCCATTCGGCTTTGCGCCCAGATTCTTGTAGGCCTTGCCCCCGTTACGTTCCCACTCGCGATTAAACTCGTGCTCCAGGATCTCAGCACCTCGTTTGCGTGTCAGACCCGTCTCTTCCAGGCTCAGTTCGCACATCTGCATGTCGTCCGTTCCAGCCACCAGCAGAATCGGTGGCTTATCTGCATGCAGTTCCATCTGGCGAGCGATCCATTGGCCATCAAAGTGGGCATACCACAGGCCGCGTTTGGCTGTAACAGTTCAAATTATAACATTTATATTACATATTATATTCTCTGGAGAATGACACTCACTGTTGTCCGGAGCATTGGCTCGCATGAAGGGAATCCGGAAGTAGCGATGCTGAGCCGTCACAATCTCCTGGATTGGCTGAACCAGGGGAGGCTGCTTGAAAGCTGCGATGGGAAGGAGGTGTATATTTAAAGATTTAATATTGGTCAATGTTATAGTTAGTTACCAGCTTCCATGACGCTGCGTGGGGCACGCTCGTTTTCATCCATGGTGGTGCGCTTACGGTTCTTTGCCTTCCAGGCATGGTACACCTTTAAGCGGCGATGGAACTCCTGGCGGCAGGCCTATAAGAAATACAGATGGTTTCGTATAATGAAAATAAATGATCATTTATTCTCCCAAGACTCACCTCCAGCAGTTCAATATCACAGGACGTGTTGATAGCATCACGCAGCTCCGAATACTTCCATTTGGACAAGTCGTACTTCTGCTTGCCCAGGGCCTGTTGTTGAGCCCGAACATTTTCCGATCTGCCACGAAGATAGTAACATTAATTAGGATAATTTTAACAAAATGGGAAACATAGACATCAGCGCAAGCAAAAAAAGTGAGTCATTGATGGCATCAAATGTTCATAGTGACAGGATACAAAAGAATCGAAGAAAGTCAACAACTAAAAGCCAATGGGATTTTTCTAATAGTAAAAGTAGTAGTAGTATTATATTACAGATGCTTTCGATTAGTGGGCATGAGCTCATTACTTTGGGTGTTAGTAATTTAGTTAGTATGAAATGATTTCAAAACCAGCACCAACTCACTTATTCAAGTACCGCGAAGCAATATTTGACACAACTTGTGAAAAACTTTTTCAAAAATATACAGAAAGTAAAGAAGTTAAAGAAGTAAAGTTTTTTTTTTGTTTTTTTTTTAGGTGAATCATAGTCCAATTAGTGTTTTTGGGAAAGCAAGAAAAGATTGACAAAATTTACAAGAGTTGGAGACATAGGTAATTCATAAAGCGTGCTATACCTGATCAGTTTGTTGGAACCCATGGGAGACGCGTCATTGACACCACTGTGTTGTGTTCGTTGGATTGGATTGTGTTTTGGGTGGTGGTGTATATTCGTTGGGGATAGTGTGGAGTGGATTCCGTGTAAGGGGAAAGGAAAAAGTTTGTGAGTTATATATAATATTTATATAAGAGTATTTATAATTATATGTACAATATTATATTCTTTTCTATTGTTTAATCAAAAAGATATATCACTATTAATTTTGTTTAAGTTCCAAAATAGTTCAGAAAACCCATTTAAAGATCAATAAAACATTACAAAACCCCATTTTAACTCTCAAAATTAGTTTTTGCCCCATTATTTTTGGACTATATGATTACATACTTGCGGATGACTGGCGGACTGTCCTCCACCTGACCGTTAGACTCGTTGGCCAAACGCAGGGCCAACTCATGATCGCGGCGTTCCTGTTCGAGTTGCTGTCGGTACTTGGCATCGTCCTTGGCCTCCTTCTCCAACTGCTCCTGCAGCACCAGAGCGGCGCGACGATCCTCCTCCTCCTGGCGCAGTCGTTGGGCTTCGGCAGCCTTGCGGCGGGTTTCCATCTCGGCCTTGCTGTAAATTAAATTGAAGATTAGTTAGGAGTTAAAATCTCAATTAAACTAATACTCACAGTCGCTTGTTCTCGATTTCCTCGCGCTGACGCTGCTCCTCCGCCTCCTTGGCAGCCCGCTCGGCCTCCAGGGCCTCTTGGATCTTCCGCAAACGCTCTTGCTCCTCGGCCTGCTGTTGCTCCTTTAGTTTGGTGTTCAGATCCACGGTGAGCTTGTTCATATTGGCCATGACCACGGTGTACATGGAATCCATTTCGCGTTGAGTGATGCGGGGATTCATCTATGTGTGGATTTAAGGATCAGTAAACGAATGGAGTTGAAGTCACTATATCTCACCTTGATCTTCTTGATGGCATCATCGATCTGCCTGTAAATATCATTCACCCCACTGACGATCTCATCCCGTCCCATTTTCAGCCCACTGGCTATTTCGATTGTCTTGAGCGTATTTGTTCGGATCTTATTGATCTTTCCAATTCCCTGGTAACGTGGGCGATGCTGCTTGCGGGCCAGGAAGCCACGGGCAATGCGCTGGGCTATCAGGACACACTTGTTACGATAGATGATGCGATTGCGCACTAAATGAGATAAATTAGGATTATAATATATCCATATAATATGGATTAAAAGACAACACTCACGTTTGATTACGCACAGCGCTCCCAGTGCGGACTTGACCCAACGAGATCGAATCAGCCACTTCTTGACCTTAGCCACTATGGCCAGCATGTTCTCCGGATCAGAGCGCATGATACGGTCAAACTCCACAAATTTTCCTGGTCGGAAGAAGACTTTAGTGATACCGAACTTGAAGTCCTTGGCGCTCAGATTGAGCGACTGGAACATGGCTTCGCAGAATGTGCGAGCCGGCAGTGAAACCAATTCTGGCGGCAACACCGACTTGTACATGCTGTAAAGATCCGCAAAAAGAACACGCGATGGATAGCCGTGCTCCATGAGCTCCAGCACGGAAATAGTGCCCGAACACTTTAGTTGGGCCAGCGCCAGGCTGCCCTCAAATTGACGGTCAATCATCTTGCTGTTGGGCTTGATGCAGCGGATAAAGTTGGTGCCCTAAAAAGGAACATTCATTAGGGTATGGTTTCATCCGAAAAGTAGTTAATAACACTTACATTCTGCTCTAATTTCTCCATCAGCTCGCCCAGCTGTGTTTTGAATTTGGAGCCCACAGATATGAAGTTGAGCTTGCCGCGGATTGATGTGCTGCTGCCCGAGGGGAACAAAGTCTGCAACAAGGGATTGTCGCACTCCTGTACCAAACCCTCCAACGATGCGTGCAGGGCGTCGTTGTTCTTCTCGATGAATTGCTCCGTGTTGTAGCACACGGCTCCGGCAAAGTGGCGCACCAGGAAGCCCTCCTCATCCCGCAGAGTGCGGTGGGCCTTCAGACGAGAGGATCTTGGCAGTCCTAGACGGTAATGATTTGCCCAGGACTTGTGCACCTCGGCGGTGAAGTGCGAGTACGAGGGCTTGGGCAGCTTGGACTCCTCGTCGAGCAGCGTGAAGATGCCATTCGACTTGGCTTCAATCAGTTCGATGATGTCCTGGTTGTCCGTAAACGTGATCTCCGGCACGTTGAGTCCTTCCCGCTTGTACAACTCCTGCTCGTTCTTCAATATGTTATCGTTGAAGAACTTCTGCAGCTTCTCATTGCAGTAATTGATGCAGAACTGCTCAAAGGAGTTCACCGTGAAGTACTCAAAGCCAGCAATATCGAGCACACCAATATAGAAGTTCGAGGCCTGGAAGGGAATGCTCTGGTTGATAAGACCCACGATGCGATCGAAGAGGCGGCTGTAGATGGCCTTGGCCAAAGCATCCCGAGCATTGCTTGCCTCGTAGATCTTTAGAGGAACCCTGCAAGTATGGAGTGATTGGTCATATAAGGATTACCATAGATCCCCTCCATCAAGATCCTTACATGATAACCGTGCCCTTGAAGCCACCTCCCTTGCTCTGCATCACTCGGGAAACCAGAGCAGTACGCAGCTCTGTTTGATCCACACCCAGCAATCCACTGGTGATGGTCAAGGATTGCTCAGATGCCTCCGACACCTGACAGCCACCACGCACATCGTCGGGTATCTCCTCGAAGGCAATGTTGCCCAGGTGGAGCACAGCTGCCACCAATGAATAGATTCCCAGCTTCTCTGCATCCGACAAACCCAGACGACCCAAAGCCTTGTCCAGGTTATGGAAGTGCTGATAATCATCGATTATCGGATCCTTGAGCGGTCCCTTCTGCTGGTGATTCTTGGACTTCTGTGAGCCCGGTATTAGCTGTTCCGTCTTGGCGTTGGCAAAGTACTGCGTGCAACCGGAAAGGTACTGCCAAAAAAGATAAAATCAATTAGAAGGAGTAAAACTTAAGGATCCCAAGACTTAC